GAATATACCCAAGAGATGCCCTATCATATGACAAAAGCATTTGTTCAACTATGTTCATAGCAGTATTATTTGTAATAGCCAGAACCTGGAAACAACCTAGATGCCCTTCAATGGAAGAATGGATGAAGAAAGTGTGGAATATATACACATTAAAGTACTATGCTGTGGTAAAAAAACAATGACTTCTCGAATTTTGCATGCAAATGGATGGAAATAGAAAACACTATCCTGAGTGAAGTAACCCAGACCCAAAAAGAGGAACATAGAATGTATTCACTCATACTTGGTTTCTAGCCATAAATAAAGGTCACGGAGTCTATAATTGGTGAACCTAAAGAAGCTAAATAAGAAGGTGAACCCAAGGAAAAACATAATTATCCTCTTGGCTATGGAAAGGTTCGTTGTTGTTATGTCTTTTGCTCATCAAACATTTCTTAGTGCCTGGAATGTAGCCCTCTCTATCCCTGTCTGCCTCTTGAGGTCTGAAATGATTCTCTTTTGAACCAAGATTACCTCCCAAATAGACAAAGTTGACTATTTGCTTGAAGTTCTGATTCTTTATTATAAGTTAAAATCCTGTGTGCCCTTCTCAAGTTTTGTATCTCAGTCTTTTCCATGTTTACTTTTATATCAAGGTTCTCACTTACTTCCACCACTCTATTTACCATGAACTGCAGCTCATTTGGACTTTCAGCAAGCAGTGCTGTGTTGTCAGCCAACTGCATGTTATTGATTCACACACCACCTATCTGCATGCCTATCTCCTCATCCTTGAGGGCTGTTAGTATTATTATTCCAGGAATATATTAAAGAGTAGTGGTGAGAGGATGTGTCCCTGAAACACTCCTAGGATTGTCTTAAACTGATCACTTAGCTCTCTACAGCCTTTGACTGATGCAAAAGTATCTTTATAGGTATTTTCTGGTATTCTTCTGATTTTTACCTTGGTACCTGTAGAACGCGATTGTTTCCTAAAGTGCTTTTCCCCTAATGCTGTTCAAAGCCTTCCTGTAGTCAATGTAAGAGACGTACAAGTTTTTTTTTAATTTTTTGTATTTTCTTGCTAGTTGTCCTAAAGTGAAGATCTGATCAATTGTGCTCCTGTTAGCTCTGAATTCACACTGGGTCTGTGCTATAATTTCCTCTGCTCTCCCCTTGATTGTATGCAAAATAATGGAGAAGAAAATCTTACTGTTATGGCACAACAAACTAATGTCCCTGTAATTTGAGCAGTCTAGCTTGTCCTTCTTGTGTATGAGAATTATGATTGAATGCTCAATTCTATGGGAATCACTTCATGTTCCCATATATCTCTGAAGAGTCTGAGAAGTTCCTCAGACTCTGAGCCTATTGTAGGTGTCTCCAACCTCTCCACTGTGATGTCATCCACTCCTGTGATCTTCTTGCATTTGCTGTCTTTATAGCGTCTTCTAGCTCATTTTTGTCAATATTTAATATTTCCTCATTTTCTGTGGTTTCTCAGTGGCTGTTGAAGTGTTTCTTATTGTAGTCTACCTTGACAGCATTAGGATCTTTTTAAAGGGTGTCAAAGTCTTGTCTCCATCTTTGCTTTACTTCCTCTGGTTTTGTTAGCAAATGACCCTGCCTATCTTTAATCACCCGAATCTGAGGAGCATATCTGGCAGTTATCTGTCTGATATCTTCACAGACAAGATGTGTTTTATTATAGAGTCTAGCCTCTCCAGCCTCTCAGTATATACCATGTATATACAGCTCTCTATCCTCATTCACTTTTCTTTTGATCTCTATTCACAAATAGTTGTGGTGATTTCTTGCCTGCAGATTTGCCTCTTTGTTTGCTCTTTAGCTCCTTTCCTCCTTTCTGTTTGTACTATATACTTCAGATTAAAATGGAATCCTTCCCATAGAAAATGATCAATAACAATCTTCTTGCTGGATATATAGTGGCAGAAAGGAAGGGAAATAACAATGTGTATTGAGGCATATTGTTGTAGGAGTGAGATGTGAAAATATGTTTTTGTAAGAATATATTGGAGCATGATAGAGGTGTGGAAAGAGATGTGTATAGTTGAAATATCAGGAAATTCTCATCCAGGATGACTTGTCAGGTCTTGAAACATAAATACATGTTCACAAATCTACATAAGGGTGGTGTTGTGCCATATGGATCAAAACATGCTGAATCCTTTTCTTTACTCTCCCTTCCTCTGACATATCTTCTATTTTCTAGGTTATAATAAACATGGTCCAGAAGAAACTCCTACAAGTATGTATCAGTCAAACACAACTTAGGTTTTAGTCCACACCTCCTCATTTACAAAGGAAAGATGACCCAAAAACAAACCAATCTTTTCAGAGAGGCCAAGGTCTCAATGAAAGCAATATGCAGAATCAACCTGCCTGGTGTTGCTGTTCTTCATAGTTCACTGGGTCCTCTAAATAAATATCAATCCAGAAAATGCACCATAGATATGCCCACAGGTCAATTTGATGAAGCAATTCTTCAATTCTTATCCCCATGTGTGACTATTTAACAACCATCACTAGCCACCACTAGGGTCAGTCTTCAATTGCAACCTGGACACAGAGAGTGCACATGGAACCATGGGTTGTAGCATTACAGATTATCCCAGTGTGAGTTTTCATTTGAGAAAGATGCTCCTAGTGATCCAGATACATAACATATTTAGACATTGCATCCAACTGTTTGCAGGAAGTGAGTGCTGGTCATAAGATAATACCAGTGCTAGAATGAATAGAGAATGAATATGAGAAATGTTAAGAGAAGGAAATTTGTGTGCTGTGGAGTTGGCAAGCTGTGTAGGTTCTGACCTGATTGGAAATGTTGAGATGTGGTGGGAGACTGAAAGAAAAGCCAAACTGGTGAGAACAGGATTTCACTCTGGCAACAAGCAAATTCTCAATTGAATCTCTTCTCTTCCTGCAGCTATAGGGCACCATCTAAAAACCCTCACAATCAACTTCACCATAACCAACCTTCCATATTCATCAAATATGAGCAATGGCTCAGCTATGTTCAGCTCAACTGAGAGTGTCCTCCACTACCTGGTGAGAACCTTATCCCAGCAGCCTGGGAGAGATTGATCCCATAAGAACCCTTTGTCCAATACCTGCTTTCATTTCTCTCCTCCTTCCCCATCTACAGCTTGGACACGTGTTCCAGAATGACTCCTTCAACTCCAGTTGCAGACTGGATTCCCTCAGGTGACTCTACTTTCTCTCTCTTTGCAAGGAATGAACACTGCTCATTTTTACCATTCTCATTCCTCCTCCTTCCTTCTGGTTCTCATCTACATTATGACTTTTCTAAAGGCTCCACACTCTTTTCTTTCTAGGCCTAAGAAGAATGGAACAGCCACTGGTGTGGATGCCATCTGTGCCTACTACCATGAGCCTATTCATCCTGAAATGGACATCAAAGAGTTGTACACAGAGCTGAGAAAACTAACTCAGGAAATCACCCAGCTGGGGAACTACTCCCTGGACAAGGACAGTCTATATGTCAATGGTAAGTGTTCTCTGTGGTTTACTGTGAATGTTCTTTAGCATTCTTTATGTTCATATACTTACAATTATATGAAAGTTTCTCTGAGCTTATCAGCAAAGATAGTCTTCTCTATGCCTGAAATTTCAATAGTCGTTCTAAACATATTGAGTCTTCTTTTTTTTCTCTGCACTACCTTCTAATACAAATGAATACTTGTTGACCAACCCTGAACTGTCATTTTCTATGGTTTTGAATATAACTATTTACAAACCAGTTTGATACCATGTCTATTTGGGACACAAAGTAAGTTTCCCTGTGGGGATAATTACTTTCTCAAATAAAGGTTTTTATATTTTCAATACCAACAATCAATTACTTCCTCTGAAATAAGCCCAAAATTTTTAATTAAATGAGTTTTTGCCCATAATAATTATACCACAATTACACTTGTGAGCACATCCTTTTTGACCATTTGGTATTATAACACACAAGGCTCATAGGTAAGTAAAAATATTATTTGGTTTTCTCTCTCAGCAGCCTGTGTTTCATCTTTTGATACAAGGTACATCAGTCAGCAGTGAATGAGCCTCTAGTTCAATTCAGCATTGCTTGTATCTTACATTTCAAAGTGTTGATATCTTGTCTTTTCAATTTTTTTTTTAATTTTCAGTATTTGCTTTAATTTCACATGTCTTTTCAATTATTACACTCATTTTAATGATAAGAACTGAAGGGAAGGAAGGGGAATTCACACTCCTACAACAGATTCTTACTAATCAGAATTATGGTGATCTCAGTTTCCATCTGATCACTATAATCTGAAATTGTGGGACATACATAAGCTTTTAGACTTCATAAAGTTCACAATTAATGTGGTTAAATATGTTGTCTATTTAATAGTACCAAGCATCTTAGCCAAAAATTAAGCTTGGCACCAGAGACAAATAAGTTTCATATGCAGTTTGTTCCAGTGAGGCACAGACAGCACTGTATTCTTCAAATGAGAGTGGGGAAACCATGTATAGGAAGGACTCAATGGACATCAACTGGATGGATAGATAGAGGGATCATGTGAGGGAAGATGATAGTATAGACGGGTACATACAAATGGGAATTGAGGTATGACAAGAGATCTTCTTGTTAGGAGCTCTTGTTAGGAGCATGCTCTAGAAGTGGTAAGGACATGTTGAATCTGACTGATATGGCAATAAATTCTTGTTCATGTTGACATTTATATTAACTCTTAGGACAGAAATAGCTGCTATTCATATTTGTCCCAGGTGTACCAAGGCATGGTGTAATATATAAGACCTTGTTGTTCATTACCCTTATGTGTGCCTTTTGTGTTATAGGTTATAATGAACATGATGCAGAAGGACTTCCTACAAGTATGTTTAAGTTTGACCTAAATAGGTCTTGGTTCACACATTTCTATTCATTTCTAAAGGAATCTTTCCCTAAGCATAAATGAATCTCTTTAAAGAGACTTAGTATAATAAAATTTGCTGTCCCTGGCCTCTTCTTGGAATTCCAGGTCAAGTTTTAGATTTCTGATTTTTCTTCACTTTGCTTAATTGGAGCAAGATGTTTATACAAATGTTGTCTGCAGAATTACAGGGCTGAGTTCAGATGAAGACTGTAGTTCATGTCTTTTTAACACAAGTAAAATGTCCCCTAGTGGGAGCATGATTATTAAGTTGAAAATTCTGATGGCTACTGAAGTGTTAGGCAAAATGTTCACATTCTCTTGTTCAGGGATCAATTCCTCTGTCTTTCTAGCTCTCCTTTTTTCCACATTTCTACTCATTCATCCTCTGGCACCACATTTCCACCTATCCATCCATCCATTTGCATACATCATAACCCATCCACATATCTACTTGTCTTTTCTCCCGTCCACTTCCTTGCCCAGTCTCATGTATTACTACCTTCATTCCTTCTGTTTTTCTTTCTACTTCTCATTTCTTAATCCATTTTCATACCTACATTCATTCATCAATATTTCCACCCATTGTCTTACTTATCCCTCATTAATTAATTCTTTTCTTTGTTTGTCTATCTACTAAAACATGCATACCTACCTACCAATCTAACCAGCTAAATAACCACCCACCTACCTAGATACCCATCCATATAAGTACCTACCTCTGCATCTGTCAATTTGTCCATTCATTTACAAATTACCTCATTCTGTCTATTTGCCTGTTTGAAATTACTTCTTTCTAACTTTTATTAATCTGCATATATATGTATATATACATATATATGTATATATCCAACCTTCTATTCACCTACTCTCTAGACCCACCCATATGTACCCACTGACCTATATGTCTAAACATTTATCTAATTGGCCAGTCTATCTATCCATCTACCAACATTCTCTGCCCAATTATCTTTTTGGCATTCATTGCCCCCAACCTGTCCTTTCTTTCTATATCCATCCATCCATCCATCCATCCATCCATCCATCCATCCATCCATCCACATATCCACGCACACCAATCATTGCATCCATCACCCATATATTCATCTACCCACCCACATGCCCATCTATCATCATGTACATATATTTATCTACTCCTCCTTAAATCTTCCATCATTCTACCTTCTCTTTATTTTTCTTCTTAAATTTGTTTGAATATCTATTTATCTAGCATCATGATACTCATGCATTCATCTCTTCTGCATTTTTTTTTGTCTTCCAGTTCATCTGGCCTATTTGCTTACCACTTTTTACATCCTGCTATCCACTTTCTACCACCCGCTGTCCACTTTCTACCACCCGCTATCCACTTTCTACCACCCGCTGTCCACTTTCTACCACCTGCTATCCACTTTCTACCACCCGCTGTCCACTTTCTACCACCCGCTATCCACTTTTTATTTCCTGCTATCCATTTTCACTATCTTGAATGAATTACATTCACAGGCTTGTCCCCCTCTATTCAGACAATTACTCTTTTCTTTACTCTTATTCATGAACCACTTGGTAATAATATTCATGATTTGGACCACTAATGGAAGGCTCTCTCATTATATGAAGTCTCTGTTCATCTTGACGACAATCTTGTTCCAGCTCCTGAGTCACCCACCACCATCCTGGCTTCTCCATTAACATCTGTGCATCCAGAACCCACAACAGGTATGTCAGAGCTCCTTTTCCTATCTGAGATAGGATTCCCATTCCACTATCTAACTTCCACACAACAAGAAGAAAACTAGAATGTGAATATTGTAATGTCAAGGCCATTTCCAATAATAAACAAATAAACAATCATTCTAATAATAAAGAAAATTCTATCAATTTGATCAAATGCTTCCTTTCATGCAACCACCAGACTCTGAATTAATAATTATGATAGAGTGAGAAATTTCAATGGAAGAGGAGTCAGATAGCATAATATAAATAAGGATGGTTTTCTGGAGAATGTTGCACCTGAACTGAATCTCTATATTGAGTAGAAGTGATCAAGATAAATAAGGCATGGAGTTTTTCTGAGAGTATTCCCTCAGTGAGGGCTCACTGGCTCACAACATCATAATTTGATGGGAGAATAGAGAAGTTGGTTTACCTAAGCCAAGAAAGTTCAGCACCCATATACCTTCTGTATATCTAGTTCTGGACCTACAGGACCATGCTGGGAGTTGTGGAATGGATAAGTAACTAATGATAAAAGGTCACTAGAAACCAGATTAGAAGGGGCCTTGAATGCCTAATCAATAAGATTCACCTTGGGATAAGGGAGATTGCTCAGTGGTTAAAGTGCTTTCTAAACAAATAAGAGGAGTACAGTTAAAATCACAACATAGTAGCCTAGCTGTAATTGCACTACTTGGGAAGACAAGAAAGAGGGCCCCCATCAAAACTGACCAGCTAGTCTAGTCAATAATGTTTCAATAAGAGACCCTGACTCATTATATAAGGTAGATAGGGGTCAAGGAAGACACTTGGTGTCAATCCCTGGCTCCCACATTTGCATCCACATACACATGTAGCAAAAATAATAAAAACCCAGAGACAGATATTGGGATTCAACCCGAAGATCAGAAAAGCAAAGCAGTCAAGCCACTAGAGAGCTCTTACCTCTGTGAAATCCTCATACTGAAAGAGAGCAAGTTCCTGCCTCTTTCAACCTAATATTCCTCTCTAGTGCTGGGATAAAAAAGATGTGACTCCCTAGTACTGGAATTAAAGGTTTGAGCCACCACCATCTGGATCTGCTTCTGCATTGGTCTTGTGTAGTCCAGGGTGCCCTTGAACTCAAAGAGATCCATTTGCCTCTGTCTCCCAAATCCTAAGATTAAAGATGTGTAATACCACTGCATGGCCTCTAGTGGCTTAAGTTTTACCTTCTGCTCTTTAGGCAAGCTTTTTTTCATATTTTATTTTTATTTATTTTCTTTTTAATTTGGTTTTATTGAGCTATACATTTTTCTGTGCTCCCCTTCCTGCCTCTTCCCTCTTCTTCAACCCTCTCCCATGGTCCCCATGCTCTCAATTTACTCAGGAGATCTTGTCTTTTTCTACTTCCCAGGTAGATTAGATCCATGTATGTTTCTCTTGGCGTCCTCATTGTTGTCTAGGTTCTCTGGGATTGTGATTTGTAGGCTGGTTTTCTTTGTTTTATGTTTAAATCAACTTATGAGTCAGTACATGTGAGTATTGTCTTTCTGGGTCTGGGTTACTTCATTCAATATGCTGTTTTCTAGATCCATCAATTTGCCTGCAATTTTCAAGATGTCATTATTTTTCTCTGCTGTGTAGTGCTCCATTGTGTTAATGTACCACATTTTCCTTATCCACTCTTTGATTGAAGGGCATTTAGGTTGTTTCCAGGTTCTGGCTATGACAAACAATGTAGCTATGAACAGAGTTGAGCACATGTCTTTGTGGTACAATTGGGCATCCTTTGGGTATATACCCAAAAGTAGTATTGCTGGGTCTTGAGGAAGGTTGTTTCCTAATTTTCTGAGAAATTTCCATACAGATATCCAAAGGGGCTATACCAGCTTGCATTCCCACCAGCAATGCAGAAGTGTTCCTTTCTCGCCACAGCCTCTCCAGCATAAGTTGTCATCAGTGTTTTTGATCTTGACCATTCGTCCTGGTGTCAGATGGAATCTCAGAGTTGTTTTGATTTGCATTTCTCTGATAATTAAGGATATTGAGCATTTCATTAAGTGTCTTTCAGCCATTTTAGATTCCTCTGTTGAGAGTTCTCTGTTTAGTCCTTTCCTCCATTTTTATTGGATTATTTTTATGACCAATTTCTTGCATTCTTTGTATTTATAAAATAACACTCTACACATATATACACATGTGAAACAAAACCACAGTGAAATAAACTTGAATTTTATATTGACAGTTCAAAGGAGTTGTGAGTAATCCTAGCATTGGGGCAGTCTTAGTGATATTTTCATTGTACAAAGATTCTTCTGCTAGGATGCATAGATAGCATCCTTTAGACAAAACATCCAATGGATATGCTAGGATTTTTCTTGTGCAGTGAGCACATACTAACTGAGTGACTGAACCATCTCCTTAGTATCCTACATACAAACTAAGATGAGCTGCCTCCTTGGGTGCCCATAATGAACAGAGAATGATTGATTGGTTGTTGACAAATAGTTAATATGAAAGTTTCTCTCTCTCTCTCTCTCTCTCTCTCTCTCTCTCTCTCTCTCTCTCTCTCTCTGAAGATATGAAGCCACCCACTCTTCTGCCAACAGAAATCCCAACAACCAGTTCCAGCTCTCAACATTTCAACTTGAACTTCACCATCACCAACCTACCCTATTCCCAAGACATAGTTGAGCCAGGCACCACAAAACACCAGCAAAACAAGAGAAGCATTGAATATGCGGTGAGAAACATGTTGCTTGTCCACTTCACCCCCAGGCAGAAGCTGACTGTTGACACTGGGTCAGTGGGTAATTTTTTAAAAATAAGAGTCCCAGAGAACACATTCTTACTCCCATTTATAAATTAGGAAGAAAACAAGAGATCCAGTAGCTGGCAAAGGGTGCTGCCGCTGTGCCATACCCTGGAACAAGACATCCTATGTTTGGGCTTGCATCTGTTAAATTTCTTTGACAGTGGAACATGAGGTTCTGACATAGGAAACATTCCTCTCTCTTTCAGCTCAACCAGCTTTTCAGAAACAGCAGCATCAAGAGTTATTTCTCCGACTGTCAAGTTTTAGCCTTCAGGTAAATGCCAGTTCAGTGCCCTGAGGACTTCTTGGTTATGTAACTGAATATGACCTTGAATTTCTGCTCTCACTACCTCCACCTCTGGTGTAGAATGCTGGGATTACAGTCCTGCACCATCAAATCTGGGAAATTATTATTGTGTAGAGTCTCTACAGTGTAACAATACACCCACAAGGAACCATCATGGGACAGCACTCCCCTCTAGTGGTCTTGTCAGGGATAGCAGTGACAATGTACATTCAAAAGCGGAGGAGGCAGATGCCTCAGTAAGTAAAATGGAGACCTGAGATTGAATCCCTAGAATCCATCCAAAAACTTGGCATGGCTTCATGCACCTGTTACCCCAGAGCTGGGCAGGGGAAGAGAAACTTAAAATACTTTCTGTTTCATAATTTCTTGGTTCCTATTTTAGGAAAGACAGCCTAAGGGATATAAAATTGTTGCCTAAAAGCTAGCTTTTTCATAAAGCAGGAAGTCCAACCATCTTAGAAACTTAGTTGGGTTTGTGAAGCCATCCAGATATGATGGTGATTGGTAGGAGGGATCATAGAATCCAGAGAGGAGAACTATGGCAAATACACACCCGCATAAAATTGGCAATATTCGAACAGGCACACACACATACACACATGCATGCACACATACACACACACACCAATAAACAATAAAAACATTGTTCAATAAGATGGCAGAATCTCGCCTAGGAGCCCATGGTACTGCAGACTCCATGTGATTATGATTCATTGTTGATGGACTCTGTCAACTTTGTCCATTTAGCAAAGTAATAGTAGTGGGTTCACTCATGGGGGCTATGAGCTCCACAACTCTGGATTCTTGGTCAGATTTAAAGTACCAGGCATATGTTTCCTCCTGTAGAGCAAGCAGGTCTTAAATCGAATTGGAAAGCAATTGGTTCCTCCTATACTATTCGTGCCATTATTGAACCCATGAGAAAGTCTTGCTAGACTGATCATAACTGTAGCTCCCAGGGTTAACAGCTGAGTAAGAGTGCTAGTGACCCCCTCCCCAGAATCCTGCATAGCATCTCCCAGTGCTGTGAAAGCTGACGATTAGGGATGAATCTTCATGGTCAGTTTCAGCTTCATTTCTCATGTCCCATGAAAAAAAAGTCTATTCTGCCTTCAGCAACAAGGTCTTCACCTGGCTTTATCTTGTGCAAGCTATTTGTAGGCAACCAACAGCAGTTGTGACCTCATGAAGGCAGTGACCCAGGTAAATCTGGAAAACATATCTCACAGCCCTCCTCCCTGACCTCTGGCTTGTAAAATATTTCTGCCCCATTACACAATGATCACAGAACCTTCAGATAAATATAATACAGTATACTCATTTAGGCCTAGCCACATTTCTAGTACAAAGTAGCAATATGATACAACTAATACCTGTATCTGAAAGTGCAGGTGCAGAATGTGGACATTGTTGGACAAAATTCTCTGCGAAAGAGAATAGCAATGGAGAATATATAATAAATGTAGAAGAAGAAGCACCCCTCTTCATCCTCTGTGCCTTTTCAGGTCTGTCTCCAACAGCAACCACACAGGGGTAGATTCCCTGTGTAACTTCTCACCATTGGCTCGGCGAGTGGACAGAATTGCTATCTATGAGGAATTCCTTCGGATGACACAGAATGGTACCCAGCTGCTGAATTTCACACTGGACAGGAAGAGTGTCCTTGTGGATGGTAAGGTTCACTGGTCAGGGAAGGCAAGATGATATTCCCAGGCATGGGTTCTTAGCTAGATTTTAAAATTTGAATTAAAATGCTCAATGAAGCAAGGGTGGTATATGGCAATCATTTGTAAATACTATTTTAATTGGATAAAATAGTTAAATTTAAGCAGTGAATTATTACATTATTTTGTCTACTTTTCTTTATTTCTGTAAAGTTTTATTTAAATGAATAGCCAGGCATGATGATGAATGTCTTTTATCTAAGTTCTATGGAGGCAGAGGCAGGTAGATCTCTGTGAGATCAAGGTCAGCCTGGAAAAAATGGTGAGTTCCAGGTCAGCTGGGGCATAATTAAATCCTGTCTCAAAAGAGCAAAAAATTTTAAAAAGGAGAAAGTAAAGAATGACTGAGGGTTTATCTCAGTGGTATAAAACTATTCTCTCATGCCTAAGATCTTGTATTTATACCTAGCCTCAAACAGTAAAGAAGGCTGGCCAAACAATGTAGGGGACATACCTTTATTCCCAGAACTCAGGAGGCAGAAGCAGGAGGCTCTCTGACTTTGAGGCCAGCCTAGTTTACAGAGTGAGTTCTAAGACAGCTAGGGGCTACACAAAGAAACCCTGTCTTGAAAAAGTTCAAAATAAATAAGTAAATAAATAAATAAGACATGTTCATGCGCATTCTGTTTTCTTTTATTTCCAGGGTATTCTTCAAACAGGGATGATGATGTGATAAAGAATTCTGGTAAGTCATCCATGCCTGGGGTATCATAAGGAGCACTTTCTCTGTAACACTGTCACCAAGTGTTGTGTTCAGAGGATCAAGATGAAAGAGGGTCAAACCATGGCAAGGACTGATGAGACCAAGTGGACAGACATTAAGGATTCCGTCATACTGGAAGCCCATACAGGAAGAAATGGGATGTGGGTTTATGTGAAATTGAATCACTAAGCTCTCTCCACAAGATTCTTACCCATCCTCAGGCCACACAGGGCTCAGGAAGGATTGCCAGAGGGGGCAATAGGAGATTCATTCCACTGTTTGTCTTCCCAGGTCTTCCCTTCTGGGCCATCATTCTCATCTGCTTGGCAGTACTACTGGTATTCATCACATGCCTGATGTGCTGTTTCCTGGTGAGCAAGGAAGTTTGTGGGGTTTCCTGTGTTCTCAATACTGCATTATTAAGAACTTTTAAACAGGCAAGACTCATATAGCACTTCTTTGGTCGAGGATGGTCCTAGGACACATCAATGACAATGGCCTCCAAAAACGATGCTGCCTAGTGTCATTGTAGCCATCTAAGCTTGTTTAAATACTGTCTATAATGTTTGCATAATAACACTGCATTCATAAAATAAGGCCCTAGAGTTATACAGTACAACTGTCTATTATACATAAACAAGTCCTTTGCTGGTGATATGGTTTATGAACATTTTCTTCTAGATTATATGTGGCTGGTCACTTTAATCTCTCTTTTCTAATTTTACTGCTATTGATATTTATTTAATTTACTTTTATCCCAGGCGGGCTTCAAATTCACTAGGTAGCAAAAAAGGATCTTGAGTTCAAAAACTCTCCCACCTCCCAGTTTCTGCCTCCTAAGTAGTGGGATGATAAGTGTTTTACCATGCCTAGTATCTATTTTATTTCTATTTGGCAGATAATGTGTATTTGTATGATTTACAAAGTATTCATTAAATGACTAAACCAAGTAAATATCATCATATCCTTTTGTGTGGTATGAGTCTTACCCTGGATTTTTCTGAAATATATATTACATTAACTGTAGTCAGCATGCTCTAAAATGGATCTTAAAGTTCTAACATTAGTCATTAGTGCAATACAGTGACATAGCAAAATGAATAAAACAATAACTAGAAGGCTGATATTAGTAAGTGTTGGCAAAGATTTGAAGTAACAGGAACTCTTACTGAGAGCTAACAGAATGTAGGCTGATCATTTCTTTGAGAGTTATATATACTTGCAATATTACACAACCATCCCAATCCTATTAATTTATGCAAGAAAAATAAACATGCCTTTCTATAAGAGCTGTACAAATTCAAGCCAGACAAAATTCCGGCACTGAAAAGGGGAGGGAGATACAAAGTTCCACCTTTAACCAAGAAGTTCTTTACAATTGATCTTTGCTGGCAAAGGGACAAATGATTTTTCTTCAGTGGAGTGTCACTAGGTATATTAACCACACTCCAGAGAAAGCACCATGGGCAGGAGTAGTTAGCCAACACAAAATAAACTTCATTGGGATTTTTGGAGTGGAGGGATGGGAAAATTTTGTTTTGTTTTGGCACTCTTTTGTCTTATTGGATTTTCATTTTGATTTTTTTCTTGCTTTTTTTTTAGAGAGAGAGAAAGCAAAAGATCACAAAGTCGATTGGGTTAGGGAGATGGAGAAGATCTGAGAGGAGTTAGGGGAGAGAAAACAATCAAAATATATCATATGAAAAAGTCCTTTAGAAGACTATAAAGAAAAAAAACCCTGTCCAAAGACCTGTACAAAAAAAATGGGCATAGTCACCTTTTTAGTCATATCCAAACCAAAAAGAAAAGAAAGAAGAGAGAATGAACTCAACCTGAAAGTTAAACAAGCTCAGTTTCCATCAAGAGGTATAGCTCAACAATTGAATGCTATTCCATAATAAAAAAAATAGTGAGTGGTTAACCTGTAGATACAGAAATCAGCCCTGATTTCTTGAATCATGCAAACGTAGTTATGTCTGCAAATGGCAGGGAAGAAAGAATTATGATGAACAGACCACAGAGATAATGAATAGGTGCTTTTTCATCCCCTTTCTTAATGATGGTTTAGGGAGTTGTAATTAAAAGTCATAATTTATTTCATTCTTTTTGAAACAGAATTTCACAATATAGCCCATGCTAACATTGAATTAAAAGTCTCCCTAATTCAACTTTCTAACTGCTGGGAGTAGATACACATACCACTATGCTTCGCTATAATTCCCTTTAAATATGTTGACTTTATTGCATGTGAGTTATTTCCCTTTTAAGCTAAAAGAATCACAGTGGGGAAGAAGCACAGGAATCAAGCTGAGAATGAGATAAGAAAACAATATTAGAGAAAAATATAAATAGTAGATAAGTGCTGGATAGTTAGAAATATATATAGAGATGATGAATAGATGGTGGACAGATGCTGACAGAAGGCTACACAGATGTTTGATAGTAGCTTTATAGATAATAGAGAATATATTATTAAAACATGATAGATGATAGAATCGTAAAGGATTGCAAGTTGATAGATAATATACAGAGGCAACTGATGTTGCAAGTAGAGACTAAATTATTGATGGATGACAGACAATTTTATACATGGTTGATAGCTAAGTGTTTAATTAATATTAATAAATTAATTCAGAAGGAAATATATGGGTGAATTAATGAGACTAGAAAGGGGAAAGGGTGTTTTAAAGGAGAAACCTAAACAGAAAAAGGAAGAAGAGTAATATAAGAAGTATCACGGCTCTGGTACTAGTCATGTTTTTATTCCTGATTTCTCTCCTACCCGGCTGGCTGGCTAATTCATTCTTATGACTTCTCCTGACACTCACAGGTGACTGTCTGCAGAAGAAAAAAGGAGGGAGACTATCAGGTTCAACGTCACCGCCTCGGTTATTACCTGCCTCACCTAGACCTGAGGAAGCTCCCATGACTCCACCTGCCAGCAGTACCTTTCCCCTAGCAGGGTCCAAAGAATAAATAAACCTCATGGGTCAGATTCAGCACCTGTGACTTTCTTGATTTGATCCCTGAAGAGGTCCCTGAAGACAAGAGAGAAATGTTCCTCCTTTGTTAGGTCCTGGTGGAGACACTTTGTTGTCGCCTGTGGCCTCATGGTATCCCATTCTTCAAGCACAGCAGAATTTATCAAACTGTTGTATTAGTTACTTTTTGGCTGCTAACAGCAACATAAAGAAAAGAAGTGCCAGGTTCTGTTGACTCCCCATGGAAGATCTTATCCTTTGGGAGGAGTGGATGTGGAATGGGATGAGATGGAGGCAAGAGAGAGTGGGAGGATGGGAAGGAGGGGGAACTGTGGTTGGTTTGTAAAATGAATAAAAATGTAAAATAAAAGAGGGCTTAGTTTGTCTTACAGTTCCAGTGGAACACAGTCAGTTATGGTGGAGATATGGTGGTGGCCAGAGCAGGCACCAAGCTAGTTATATTACACAGGCAGTTAAGGAACAAAAACAGGAAGCAGGGCCACACTATAACATCTCAAAGCTCATCACCCTATAAACCTCTTTTTCCAGCAAGGCTCCATTTCACAACTTTCCCACAACCACCCCTGTGTCAGCAGCTGGAGAGGCCAAGTGATTAAATATGTGAGACTCTAAGAAGAATATCTACTTTCAAGCCACACCAGTATAAAAATTGTCATGGTGTAAAATGAACACACCCCTTCAATGTGGTATGCACACTCCTAGTCACACACTGAATGCCTTGCCTTGACTCCAGTGACAGTCATCACACTGATGTGTTTCTCCAATTCCTCAACCCCAGGAAGGTCTGGCCATCTCAAGTTTCTCTTATACTTAAATTCTCTTATACGTAAATACCCTGTGTGGAAAGTTTTAGTAAATAAATAAATTAATTAAAAAAAACTTAAATTCTCTGAACTCATCTGCCATAGGATTTCCACCCCCGTTTTGGATCATCCCAAATGGTAAATAGGTAAAGGAATGAGTGATTGTGTCAGAAATGACTCCAAAACCAGAGTTAGACCTTGGAACCTGACAGCATTATGGAAAACTAACATGGAGGAGGACAATAGGAAAAGTCAAGCCATTTAAATTTTCTTTTATCTTCTTGTGCTCTGAACATAAGCAAGCAGTATAGACTAGCTTCACAACTATCCTGCTTTGAATTTTCTGGAATACACTGTATGATCTCTACATACTTCTTAGAAATTACATCTATATAATTTATGTATGTGTCTGTTTATCTGTGTGTGTCATGCCACTTCTGTGCAGGTACCTGCAGAGGCCAGAAGAGTGTTGGATACCCCAGGAGGGGAGTCACAAAGTCCTGCGAGCCACCAGATGTGGATGATGGAGATTGAGTTTGGGTCTTCAGAAGAGTAGTATACACTCTTAAGCTGGCCTCTACCCATCTGGAAAATCATAAGTGATGACAGTCAATGGCTAAGACTCAAAATGACAAAACTGGAAACTTCCTTTGGTGTTAGTCTTGCACCCTCAGTCTACTTAAGCAGTCTTTCTTTGAGAATACACTCAAAAACATGATAGTTCAAATTCTTATTGCTAAGTGTCATACTTATTACAGTTATGCATTAATTAACAACTTCCCAAACAACCATAATTTAATCTTATCTGGACTTATATTTAATCTTATAAAACTTATATAGATGTGATTTTTATTGTGAAATTAACATCACAGTAGGTGATAAAATTTAGCACATGTTAAACACAACAGATGACAAACTCTGTATATGTTATCTTTTTTATATTCCTGCTGTGGTATAAGTGTCCCTTACAAAATCTGTATGTTAGAAATGCAATCCCCAGGTGTTCTGTAGTTAGTTTCTCTAACTTAAACATTACCTTGAGTTTGAGGGAGCTTCCTAACCCTTAAGAAGTTGGTGGTGGAAAGATGGTCCGCAATTAAGAGCACATACTGCTCATCTGTCCTCTTCCCAATAGCCACACTGGGCGGCTCACAAACCACCTGTAATTCCAGTCACCCTCTTCTAACTTTTGAAAGCACCTGCTTGCACATATATGTACACACATATACAGACACACAAACACATAAATAAATAAATAATCTTTATTTTATTAACATAATTAACATAAATAAAAGTTAATCTTTATTTTAAAAAAATGAAGTTGGTGACAGGGAAAGAAAGTTACAAGATTCACTGGGCCTATCTCCAAGGATAAAACACAGTAAACAATTGCTGGCCACAGGAGAATACCCATGTAACTGCCTTCAGATTCTGCAGGGATCCTCAAGGCTACAGCTGTCTTGAATAGTAGTCCCCCATCCTGGGGTAGACACTTCTGTGATCAGCTACCTTTACCTGTAAGCAACTCCAGTGGTTCACCAACTAGACTTAGGTGGTTTTGTTTCTTTGGTCTCTCAGGGATGAGTGTTTTTTTTTTCAGGTTTTGCCCCCAAACTCACAGAGTACCAAGGCAATCATTTTGAAAGTTGAGAATAATAAGTGTTCTGATAATGTAGGATCTCTCTATCACCACAAATGGAATCAAATTGCTATTGACAAAGATCTTGTGGGCATTGGTTCTTCTGCCTCCTTTGATTCCAAAAAGGTACTTATCATTTTTCCTCCTTTGTTTTTCTACCTTCTACCAGAGAAGGATGATGCAAGAAGCTACACCTCAGATGCAACTACCTTGATATTGGAATGCCCAGCCACCAAAACTGTAAGAGAATAAATTATTAGTTGAGTGGTCTGTGGCTTTGTGTTATAGCAGCATCCCATGGACATAGACAAAGACACCATCCTCAATGATTTTATTTACTCATAATAGCTAAAGGGATGGAGACTCAAAGACATGAGCTAGGTAGAGCAGGAAGGAAAAGAATTACTTAAATTCAAGGTACTGCTGTAGACAAACTATCAAAAGAAATAGAGGCAGCCTGGTGTAGCAGCACACACATGTAATCCCAGCAGATAAAAGCTCTTACTCCCAAACTTGAAATCCTGAGTTGATTTCTGGGGTTTTCATAGTAGAATGAGTTAACCAATAACCCCAAGCACTTCTGTGACTGTCACATGGATACCTGGCACCACATGCATGTGCATACACACACTCACACCCACAAAATGTAATAAAAGTTATCTAGAAAACAGACATAAAACTTAAAATGTTACTTAAATGAATACTGAAACATTGTATAAATCCAATATATTGTGGCTAGGCAGATTAAGCCTATACCTGTTTATTACAACTATATATAGTCTATATCTATTATCTATATACATGCATACATATATATATAATACATACATACAGGGGAAGAGAAAGGGGATTAGTTAAAATGTCTCACAGGTTATGGTCCAGTTAGCATACAATGGCTTTCTATTAATGGAAGGCCCAGGAATTCAGTACTTGTTCAGTCCACAAGGCTGGACATCTTAACTGTCTTCAGTATATGTCAGACTCCTGAAGAAATGGGCTGTAATGCCAGTGAAGGAATTGAATTGATAGTGAAAGCAAGAACAAGCAAAGAGAGAAGCAAACTTATTTCTTCCAAGTCTTTCCAAGGGCTGCCAGCAGAAGGTGTGGCCCACATTAAAGGTTGATTTTCCCACTTCAAAAGATCTGGATTAAAGGTGTATCTTACCAGAGATACAAAATAAAAGTGAGTTTTCCCTTCAAATGACTTAAGAAAAAAATCCCTCAGAGATGGGCCCAGCCTTTTGTGGTTTAGCTAATTCCATATGTGATCAAGTTAACAGCCAAGAATAAGCCATCACAATCTGTAAGGACAAGGCACTACAGAATTCTGTGGTGCCCCCTGTAGATCTGTAGTCAATGCTTGTAACTCTGACCCCACGTACACACATCCACCTCCTCAGTTGCTGGGCATATAAAAGCTATGTCAGCAGGTCTGGCAAATGCTCTTGTGTACTGTAAAGATTTGTCACTTGTATTAGTTTAATACAAGTGCATTAGTTTACAAATGTATTAGTAATACAAGTAATACACTTGTATTAGTCTAATACACTTAGTTTAATTGGGGAAAGAAGATCCATCCTAAACATGAGTGGTACCATCTAATGGCCTGAGATCTCAGACTGAATAAGAAGAAAATAAATAGGAGGAAGTTAATAGAAACCCAACATTGTCTATCTGTTTACGGACTGCAAATACAATGTGAGAAGCTATCTCATATTGCTGCTGCCAAGCCTTCTGACTGCCCCCTCAAACTATGAAGCAAACTAACCTCTTTTCTCAAGTTGACTTGACATGTATTTCATTAGTAATTAGAAAAGTAATACACAATAGCTGTTAATTTGTAAAGTCATCTTACTATATAGGCACATCAAAACACTGTATCATATACCTTTACACAGATAAGTGTAGTCCTCCCTGCATCAAGGAACTTTTCTTTTACAGCAGACACACACCATTACAGAAAATCATAACCAATCAAAATGCAGAGCTGTGAGTTCAGTCCCAATGGATACACATATAACGTAACCCCTGAACCTAAGGTTTAGGGATCATTGCTAAGAAGGGACAAAAAGACTGTAAAGGCAAAAAAGAGGGATTACTATGAGACTGTGCATTCTGAGAATGTCAGAAGGCAAAAATATTTTTAAACACTACTAATGAAATGCAAGACTATTAGGTATCTAGTAAATGATGGCTTAGAAGTTAAGAGTACTTTATGTTCTTCCAGAGGACCTGGGTTTGTTTCCCAGAATCTGTATGGAAGCGCCCAACTGTCTATAACTCAAGTTCCAGGGGAACCAATATCCTTTTTTGGCCTCCATGGACACCAACCCTGCATACTGTTCACAGACATACATGTAGGTAAAACACTCATGTACATAAGCTTTTTAAAAAATAAAATGGTGAGTGAATATAGGACTATAAAGAACTTAGAAAAATGTTTTCTCATCTCAATTCTCATCTCAAAAAAAAATTACTGGGGCTAGAGATTTGGTTCAATATTTAAGATCAGTTAAAACTCTCACAGTGGGCCCAAGTTTGGTTCCCAACGCCAGTGCATGATGGCTTACAACTGCCTATAGCTACAGTTCCAGGGAATACAAAACCTTCTGGTCACTTCATGTACCTCTTCTCATGTGCACATAGCAATACATAGACACACATAATTAAAAATAATTTGGTATGTATATGCTTTCATCTATGTCTATGTATTGTGTGTATACCTAGTGTCTGTGGAGATCAAAAGAGAGCAATGGATCCCCTTGGAATTGAAATTATAGATAGTTGTAATCTGCTATGTAGATGTGGGGAAGTTATACCTGGCCAGTGAACTTCATCACAGAGCCCTCTCTCAAGCCCCCAAAATGATTTTAAAAAATAATAATTACTGGCTGGGTGATGTAGGTCTATGGTAGAGTATTCACCTTGTATGAGTAAAAAGTTGGGTTTGACCTTCAATACAGAGAAAGAGGTGGGTAGAGTAAGAGAAAAATAATAATTATCATTTATATATTTTTCATTGAACAAAGAATTTTATTGAAGTGTTGTTAAGTTTAAAGTTTCAACTCTTAAAACAATAACAAGAGACACTGCAAAGAAGTATTAAAACAATTCTGCATTCCCTCTGCAGTATCTTCTCCCCAGCTTCCCCTCCCTGTATTTATAAGGTTGCCTTCTTTGACCCCCTCACTTTCTCTGCCTCGTTTGCTAGCCTGTGTGCAATCATGGCAACTGCCAGTCTTTCTCTTGCTCTTTTCACTTTCTTTTCCTGTTTGCTAATATCTTCTTCAGTGACGAGAAATTGATTGTAAAGGCTCTGTGGGATACCTGCTTCTGGAATCATGTCTGCCAAATGTGAAGATGACTCATGGGTTGACCTACAGTCAACATTGTTTGCTTGAGTCTCTGAAACAGACGCATCTGTGCCTCCAGGTCTAAGATCTTGCAAAGCTTTGGCAAGATCTGAGGTGCTCAAAAGTTCTCCTGCACTGATGTAGGCCTGGAGTCCTTGTAGTCTCTTCTGCCAGCAGGCTTGTTGGGGCTTGACCAAGGTCTCCTCCCACTGATGATATCTTACCTCATTGCCCACATGGGATGTGATTCTAGTGACTGGCCTCTTGAATGTGTAATTGGACATCCTCAAGGGAATTGAGGCGTGTAAACAAGGCTTTGGCTTTGATAGGTTCTTCCAGTCACACTGCTTCCTCTGTGAAGTCTTGCCCATCTGACTCCTTGCTTAACCCTATAAGCATAAGTCATAAAATTGGATAAATTTAATGAAGGCTGTCTCCTTGTATTATCCATGTGATACTTACCAATTATAAATGCTGCTTTTAACTTTGACCCTCCCTCTCTCCCTCTGGTAATAAGTTTGGAACATCATTGAACAGAGCTAAGTTGAGCACAAAAAGCTCAAAATCTAAATTCTCCAAACACTTGGCAAAACTCCCTCCTTGCTTGAGTGTATTTTTCTTCTTTCTGAATACACAGCCAACTGCTTGAGACCTCACATTCGCTCTCATGATACACAGTCCCCAGTCTTCCTCTAAGTCTCAATTCTGCCATTCTTCTGCGTTGTTTGATGATGGATTTGTTATGAACCACTTGATTTTCATAGCTTCTTTAACATTTAAATAAACAGTGAAATTAGATCCTAAGAGCCCAAGGTTGTGAAAGAATGCTATAGAATAGCATTTCCTGGGCACAACAGGGTCATTGCAATCAAGAACTCACAGACACTCTAATTACTTGGCACAAAACTTGCACAAGGTCAGGCCAGCCAACATTCCAACACAGCTGTGGTAGAAGCTCAGGGCACTGATGGCTGCCGAGGAAAGAACAGTGAGTTTTCTTCAAGTATGTGGCCTCTGATGGGTTGCTCCAGTGGATGGCCCTATATCCATGCACATACTGGAAGAACTAATAGCTTTCAGTCGGTTGAAAAAGGACATGGAGTTGGAAGGGAGAAGTGATAAGGATTTTTGGGTGAAGCTGGGGGTAAAATGGAGCATGATATGATTGACACATTTCATGCATGTATGAAACTTTCAAAGAATAAATACATACTTTAAAAAATTAAGAGCAAAACTCCCAACAATATCACTACAAAACCTGAGACATTAATCAACCCAAAAGGTCATGTTCAAAATAAGTAATTTAGGAAACTTATTCACAGCAGAGCAGAAAATAAAAAGAAGAAAGGACAAAAAGAAGGAAGGAAGGAAGGAAGGAAGGAAGGAAGGAAGGAAGGAAAGAAAGAAAAGTATTCACTCACTAACAAATTTGATTTCTAGTAGGATTTTCTAGATCTTATGTAACACATAGTACATGGCACAAAAACAGAGTTGACTCAAAGTTGACTCTGGAATACTTAGCTCCCTTATTTATCTACTAATTTTTATTAATGTACAATAACTGCACAAAGGGGTATCACTGTAGCATTTCCCTATTCACAAAGAATGTGCTTTGATCATCGCCACCACTGCTATTGTTCTTTAGCATTTAGCAGCCTTTTCTCCCTCCTCCTCTTCCCACTTCCCTTCTATACCTCTCATGTTTCCCCTTTCGTGTTATATTCTTTTTATTTAAAATACACCTCCCATGTTGAGTTGACTCTGAAGGTAAGGGGCCTTGTTGCTGAACCCGATAACCTGAGCACCGGCTCTCATGAGTTGTCCTTTGACCCCCACATGCTTGGTATGGCAAATATATGCACACACTCCCCACATTCAAAAGAACACAAATATCAAAACTGCTGTAAACAGTTTCCACATGAGAGGAAACATGGTATTTGTCTTTTCTTTTGGATGTGTATGTGTAAAATGTGTATGCTTACATCTTTGCATGTGGCCGCACAAGGTCACGTGTGCCTGTGGGGGCTGGAAGTTGATTTATTTATTTATTTATTAAGGCAGGTTCTCTCTTTGAACCAATGAAAGACCAATTCTGGGTAGTCTAGCTAGCCAGCTTGACACAGAGATTCATATTATTTCTCCCTCTTCAGTGATGGGATTACAGGTAGCCACCACATTTGCCTGTTTGGTATTTTTGTTTGGTTGGTTTGGTTTGGTTTTTTTCAATGTATTTTATCTTTGAAATTATATTACATCATTTCTCCTTTCCCTTTCCTCCCACCAGGCCCCCATATACCTCTCCTCTCTTTTAATGAAAAAAACCATTTTTCATTAAAATATACATATATTCCTAAATGTTGGCTCGATTTTTATGTGGGATCTGGGTATTCAAACTCCAATTCTCATAATTGCACAGCAGAACCATCTCCCCAGCCTGGTATTTATCTTCCCAAGCCTAGTTTATTTCACTGAAAATGATGGATGGTCTCTAGTTCTATCCACTGTCCTGCAATTTGCACACTTTCATTCTGTTTTATGACTGAGAACAGTCTGTTGTGTAGGGGCTGACTATAGAGCTCAGTTGGCATAGTGCTTGCCTAGCATGCACAAGACCATAGGTTTGATTTCCATAAAACAAAGTGTGGTGATGCAGATTGGTAATGATAGCACCTGGGATATGGAAGAAGGAAAATAAAAAATTTAAAGGCTTGCATCCACAACCCTACCCCCCCTCCGTCTGACTCCCTTCCCTCGTAGACCACATAACATCTCCCAGCCCAGCCTGTTCGGGCTCTAGGACCGAATCCGAATCGGCAGGGCAAACGGGAGGGTGCTAGCTCCTTTGTCCCCACTAGCCTGCCTGCAGCGAGCTAGGTAGGTCCTTTGTTTACGAGATACGGCAAGCAGCAAGGAGTTCCGGTCCAGGCACCAGGAGAGACATCACTGGG